TTAGAAGAGACTGAATCACGTCTGAACCAGTCAAACTTCCAGCCAGCAGAGCCCTCCACAGAGCAGCTCAGTGTCACACTGCCCCCTGCTGGTAGGCTTGAACTTTGTGGTGTCAGTGTGGCTCTGGGTTTACTTGCTGTTTAAGATACAGAAAGAGAAAAAACAGTAGATTGATGTCAATTTTCTTTAACAAGAATTTTGTTATGAAAACAATCACACTTTATACATTCAGTCAGTCATTTAAATTGTAGTGAGCTCCTACGTTAAGAAGTGGCTCGGACTTCCCAAATGCCTCATCAGCTTTGGACTCTATAGTGACAGGATACTGTCATTGCCTATCCCTGGCCTGGTAGAAGAGTTTAAATGTGCAAAAGTGAGGCTTGAGAGCTCACTCACAGACTCCCGGGACCCCATGGTGAGAGGCACTGCTCCCACCCTAACAAGTGGGAGAGTGTCAAAAAGAGGAAACTCTTCTGAGGAGTTTCATCATCCGAGCAACACACGATGTGCTACCTTCCCCAATAAATCTGCAGCTGTGGTTTGGAAAGGACCCATCCGGCCCCTGTGTACAATCCCAGCCACACTCAAGCACATCTTGGTTGGTTGTAGGACTAGCCTTACTCAGGGCGGATACACATGGAGACACAACCAGGTCCTCAGTTGTCTAGCCGAGAAAGTTGAGTATAAAATAAAATCCATCAAAGCTCAACCTTTCACAAACCAAGAGGAGCGTCAGTTTTCATCAGCATTTATCTGGGAGGGAGACAAGCTGAAGCCAAGCCCCTCAACCCCAGACCTGGGCCCACTGAAGGTTGCCAGGGATTGGCAGATGCACGTGGACTTGGATCAGAGGCTAGTTTTTCCCACCGAGATCGTAACAACTACTCGTCCTTTGGTCTAACTCCCCAAAAATGGTACCATGGGAGGAAGCAATTGAGGAAGCTTTTGAGCTTAAGAAGCTCAAAGTACAGAGGCTGGAAGATCAAGGTGTGCCTAGTGGAAGTGGGGTGCAGGGGCTTTGTTGCCAATACAACAGCAAAACTGCTTAGAGAGATTGGGATCAAAGGACAGGTGCAACGGCAGGCTAAACGGCTGGGTAAAAGACCGAAAGTGAGTGCCGCTGGTAAAGTTTCTGGGCTGCCTTTTCTCATAACAGCCATTCCTCAAGATTTTCTCCATTTAAAGCAATGCAGGGACTATATCAGGGACTGTAACATCTAGTCCTTTTACTGAACCTGATTTTTCAAACTGTTTTTGGAGTTTATTATATATATTACATCTCACCACTTTATAGGGTCATGTATCTTTGCAGAGTAAAAAATGACCTGTGCTCATATAAAAAAAAATCAAATTAAGAACATGATAGACACATTGACACATGAATCATTATAAAGCTGGTTTTTGTTTTGTTTTGTTTTTTTAGTGCTGTTGTTAAGAATACTTTTTTCTGGAAAGTCATAATTTTGGAAAGTGGGGTGGGGTGAAAGTCATTAGGTCCCTTTACCATCACCGTCACCACCACTGCCTCAGACTCGGTATTCAGACACGGTGCAATCTAAACATCCCCTCAGTATTTTAGCTACGTGACGTAGAGGCACACATAGACTGACTAAAATTATCAAAAGATTTTACTGATTTCTTAACACTGTACATTCCCTTTTGAGAAATAATATTATAGGTCTCCCTTTCCTGTCTTTCACATGTGTACATTAAATCTATTTTTTATGTATGCTAGACAGTTCAACTCACACAAGACAATCAGTGTGAAGGGGTCACTCCATTTTGCTAAGAGATAGTCACTGCTACCCCGACATTTGTAGTCTCCACTGTGGGACACTGATAATCTGCTGATCCTGTATTCACTGGATGTTTCAGGGATGTTTGGGTTTGGTGATTTCCATTCATATGTCATCTCCTTGTCTTCCCCTCCTTGGATCTCACATTGAAGGATGATTGTCTCACCAATGAACATCTGAGGCCAACGGTGTTGTAACTTTACAACATACAGGACTGTTTCCCAAAAAACAAACACAATGTGAAGAAAAACACAAATATAAAAAGAGAAAAGAAATTAACAGGTAAAAGGTTTATGAAGTGTTACTTTGATGTCAGTGATTAATATTTGTTATTCCAAAATGTAACACTCACCCCGTTTCTTAATTTTAACTGGAACGCTGTCCTCTGTGGAGAAAACTGGATCTCCTCTCCCTCCTCTGCAGTAATAGATGCCTCCTTCTGAAATACTGATCGTGTGCTCTGATGTTCCAGCTCCTATTTTCTGACCTCCAGAAAACT